CCACAACTGGGGTTAAGGTGGATTATCACTTAACCTGTCTCTTATACACATCTAGATGTGTATAAGAGACAGGAGAGAGAGAGAGAGAGAGAGAGAGGTTAGGTCGGGCTATTGTGAATTATTTCTGAGGTCATATTTCATTAAGCAATTTTGGTTTCCAGCTTTCAGAAGCAGACGAACGATGTGTTTGAGTTGTCCGTCCGTTTATGGTGTCCGTGTGTTCCCAGATGATTTATATCGATGTTGTTCCAAGCGATGAATCAGGTTTTGCTCTCGTTGGTGTTTGCTGAAGTATATGTATGTTTTCCGGGTTCTCTATTCAGTAAATGGGAATGGCTGTTACGGGATGTGCATGGGAGGGGATTTGTTCTGTGAAGTGCGGATTTGATTCGTGTTTTTCTTCTTTGAAGGGTATGTGATGAATGGTTGGCTGTTGCTGATCAATTGCTCCGTGCTTCTGCTGGCCGAGTGGGAGCTGTTGTATTGTTCGGGCTTGAGTTGATATTGTACGGCAGAGTGCTGGGAATCTCTGCTGTCGAAGAGGCTGAAAGCGCGTATATTACAGGGAGGAGAGATTGTATGCTGTCTGAGTTATGGATAGGGGTCCATTCGTCGCCAGCAGTGTTTTGATCTGTACTCGTTGGAAAATGTGCGAGGATTTGGGTCGACGGCGGGGCCGGGCAAGAGTAGAGAAACCTCCGGAGGGTGGTGAGTTGTCAAGGACGAGATTGACGCACACTAATCACGAAAAAGATGCGATGTGAGCGAGGGAATGACAAAACGGTTTGCATGAATTTTGATTACTTCCGATGAACATCCTTGGCGACAGTGAGAGGTCAATCAGGGTTCCAGTGGCCGTGTAAAACTTTCTTCGTTCTGTCTTTCGTAAAGGTATACGTGTGCGCGCGAGCGCTAGAGAGAGAGAGAGAGAGGGAGAGAGGGAGAGAGGGAGAGAGAGAGAGATCTTTGTTGTCTTTCCTAAGGGTATACGTGTGCGGGCGCGCTAGAGATAGATAGATAGATAGATAGAGAGAGAGAGAGAGAGTTACGCGCACACAGAGAGAGGGAGAGAGAGAGAGAGAGAGAGTTACGCGCACACAGATCCTAAAGGTACACGTGTGCGCGCGTGCTAGAGAGAGTTACGCGCACGCAGCGAGCGAGAGCGAGAGAGAGAGAGAGTTACGCGCACACAGGGAGGGAGAGAGAGAGAGAGACACACAGAGAGAGAGAGAGAGAGAGAGAGAGAGAGAGAGAGAGAGAGAGAGAGAGAGAGAGAGAGAGAGAGAGGGACTGAGATGGGGTTTTGGTTACTGCGGGTAAGGTGTATTTTTCTGCCTCCCTAAGTCTCTCTCGATGAATGTGCTCTTGGAAAATGGTGTGAAGCTCTACATATTACAGGAGTATGTTAAGTAGCTGAGATGAATGATATGTCACGGACGTGCGACGAATACGGGTTGATCTTTGTGAATATTGAACGATCGAAGACGGAGGGTGGGCTAAATTTGACTTCGTATCCTGAGATTCCTTTCGATGGCGGTAAAGTCTCCGCTTTGCGAGGAGCTTTTCTGCGAATATCGAGTGTAGATGATGAATCTAGAGGAACATATCGTGTGTGGGTGGTTTGGTTAAGGGATCTTTATCGCTCGTCTGTATATGACTATATGGTGTTGATGTCCCTGGGTCTCCCAGAGGATGAAAATCAACAAGGACCTTATGTGGCAGTCCGAGGCGGGTATAAGTGATCGGGATATGTGCGTGTTATGGATGGAGCCTCAGGTGTCTATGGGCGGGGAAACGGCTGGATGGACTTACTGGTAGCATTGGTAGGGCGATGAATACGGGATAAGTCGGGCTATATATTGGCTGTAGGCGGATCGTGTAGGCGGATCTATAAATGAAAGTCGCATTTCAGATCTGCTTTCTTTCAGTGGCGTTTGTAAAATGGCGCATAGACGGTCCGCCATGGCGTTTATCCTCGTGAGCGAATTGTTCATAGACGCTAGGTGACTTGCTCAGTTAACTATGTACAACTATGTACTATGTACTCATTTAGGTGACATAATATTTAGACCCTTGCTATGTACTTGACATAATATTTAGAGCCTTGCTATGTACAATGTACTCAGCTAGGTGATGTTATGTACAGCTAGGTGATGTTATGTACAGCTAGGTGACGTCATGTACTATGTACTCAGCTATGTACTCATCTAGGTGACGTTATTTACTATGTACTCAGCTAGGTGACATTATACTTAGAGCCTCGCTCAGTAAACAATTATTCAGTTATACTATGTACTATGTACTCAGTAGAACTACCTACTATATGTACTATATGTACTCAGTAGAACTCCCTACTCAGCCTTGCTCAGTAAACTATGTATGTACTCAGCTATGTATTAAGTCTTGCTCATAAACTACTTGCTACGTCCTCAGTAAACTATGTATGTACTCAGCTATATACTATACTCAGCCTTGCGCAGTAAACTATGTATGTACTCAGCTATGTGCTCAGCGTTGCTCGGTAAACTATGGATGTACGTAGCTAGGTGATCGAGTATTTAGTAAACTAAACCGTGTTCAATTCACGTAGGTATGCGTGCTACTCGTTAGGATGCTAATGCAATGATCTTCGTGTCAAGCCCGAGATTCAGGGTACAGCACTTGCTTGAGCGTTTGCTCTTCGCCAGCTCGCGGTGTCTGGTTCCGATAGTTGTTCCTCCTTGCAATCGTTGTGACGCGGCCCTTGGTCTGTTGTAGACTCGTTGTCGGTCTTCCTTACTTTTCCCTACGGCGGAGAAGGGAGCAAGCGGTGAAGGTTGTCCTTCGTATGCAAGACTTGGCTAGTGGTGGTCACTATAGTCTGGGTAGGTATCTTGTGTGTGCGGAATGGGAGGAGAGAACGACTGTACATGTAATTCCTGTGTGTAGGTTTTTGATTGACGTAGTCGGTTCGGATTTCTAGCTACAGTCTTCCCCTGAATACAACACACGGTCATTATAGCTGAATTTGGTCTATGTTTCAGTCTAAATTCAGCTATAATGACCGTGCGTTGTATCCGGGTGATGACTGAGTTTTTGTGATTAGTTGATATTTATGGTCGCGATTCCGTCGTTCGTGGTTCCGTTGGTCATGGGCAGAAGCCAGTGGCCTTGTTGGCGTCTATCGTCTTCACCCGGATACAACTTGCGGTCATTCTGTATTTGGGGTGACTTTGAGTCTACATACAGAACATTTTAACGTACGTTGTATTCGGGTAAAGATGGTAGAGGCGGAGGGCTAATCTGACCGTAGAGGTGTGCTACACCACAGAACATGAGGAATGTGGATTGTTGTGGAACTGAGTACACTTCGAAGTAGGGGTGAGGAAGGGGACTGGGTATCCATCCAGACTCTCTGCAGTTGGTCGATGATTATCGGCACGTGTATGTCGCGAGTGTGTCACTTAATGCGTACCTATTATTTCGCGTCTACGCTGACCACATGATTACGATGACTGCATCTAGCCAGGAATGCGGCTCATGCGTTCATGCCGACTGGGAGTTGTATCCGGAGGATCAAGATGGGTGTTGAGTAGTTGATATCTGCATCTAGCCAGGAATGCGGCTCATATACAATCGTTCATGCAGACTGGGAGTTGTGTGTGGGGGATCAAGGTGGGTGTTGAGTAGTTGATTGGAATGTTCTGTGAAGGGCCGTACTTTTTTCTCTCACTTCAATGCTCCCGTCTTCACCTGAATAGAACGCCCGGTCATTATGGCTGTATTTAGGGCAATCTAGATACAGTGATAATGACCGGGCGTTCTGTTCGGGTGAAGACGGTAGTTGCAAATCGTCGGTACATGTATGGGCTGATCGTTAGTGAATGATGAAGAATGCATACGTTCTTAACTGGAACTTAACTCACGCTCAGCAAGAATGTATATGGTCATCTTTTTGGTCCTATACAGTCGTCCTGAGGGTGAGCTATGTGAGGGGAAAGACGGTAGTCTGTTCTGTTTTTCTGGAGTGTTGCACTGCACGTCACGCTTGCTTAATTGACATACGATCGCTTTTTTGGCGCTCACCATGTAGAAGTGGGACACCGCACGGGATCGGGATCGTGCGGGTCAATTCTCTTTGACGGAAGCCGATCATTCTGGTCCGACTGCCGAAGGGTATTAGTATCAGAGAAATTGAGRRAWWMYTTTTTTTTTTTTTTTTTTTTTGTGTGTGTGCTAGTGTTATGTGAGGTCCCACTCGTGCGGGTTAGGAGCTGGTGGTTTTTTTTTTTTTTTTTTTTTTTTTTTTTGAAGCTGCCTTCTCCTTATCGGGGGACAGCCACATACAGTATTTTTCTCTCTCACCTCACATACCTTTTAACTGGCGTTCTGCCATATGTCATCATGTAATTACCTTCTCTTTCATTACCTATCTACCACTACACCTAAGGCCATACAGGGGACCCTTGCAAGTATAGCTTTCTACCTCTCTCCGGCGAGATAGGCAACCTCCCTTCACCGAAGAGGTAGAAAGCTATGGTTGTATGTTTTGTTCTTCTCGGTCCTTTAGTCGCCCTCTTCTTGTTTTTGGGAATTTTTATGACCGATTTTGGTATGACGTGTCCTTGGAGATCGCTGGTCTTTCCCCTGCTTGTTCCCTCGAACAGAAAGCATGGTCAGTATTGCTGTATTGGGTGAGCTTTCAGTCTAGACACAGTTATCATGACCCTGCGTTCTATTAGGGAAATAGAGTAACACGTTTGAGTGCGATCTTGTTTGTGCGCTCGGCAGTGGTGCGCGGCCAGCGGGCGACACAAGTGCTGGGGCTATCCTGCTCTCGCTACATTGCTTGTGCGGCCCATGTACAATTCTTTTTGATTTTATAAAAAGAATAAACAAATCTTATCAATGCCTATCTGGGGCTTTCTTGCTCTCGCTACATTGCTTGTGCGGCCCATGTACATTGCTTTTTTGTTTTTATAAAAAGAATAAACAAATCTGATCAATGCTGATCAGGGTTCCTTCGGCCAGACGGAAGGAAACGTGAGGGTCCCCTATGTGATGTAATTATTATCCCGACATGCCGCTGGAATAGGAGATGTAATTATTTTTCCTGACTTGCCAGTGGAATAGGAACCGGACTGATAGTCCCCAGGGACCTTGTCCCACTTGCACCGTCTAGTCGAGGCATCTCAACGGTGCGACAGCTAAAAAAAATCATTTTAATTCAATTTCAAATGAGAAATGCATTTATAAATGGCAGGAATACAGTGTTCTCGTTTTTCATTTTTCACAATTGGAGTGGCATAGGGGCACTTCCACCGCAGAAAATGAAGAGGTGCCCGAATCCCGTCCAAAAATGGCAAACGGAAGGAGGCTGGTACAGTTTCTCTTGAAAAATGCCTGTTGGGGGAACAAGAGGGTAAGTCTCGAAAAAAGGAGACAGCTAGTTCAAAGGAAAGTGGCGAGGGTAGGGGTAGTAGTATTCGAGAGAAAGGATTTATTTGTGTTTTTTGTTGTAAGAAAAAGAGAAGATGTTCTCTATTGCCCTTTTTATTAAAAACGGACCCTCAGATGAATTGGACGACGTGCATCTCCCTTGTCGCGTACAGTCACACAGGCTCGAAAACCCCACGTTGACCTAGCTCAACTGAGCTAGTGGGACAAGGTCCCATAATGGAAACGGAGCCAGTGCCACAAGGACCTGTTCTTAAATAATAATAATAATTATTATTATAATAATAATATAAAAAAATAATATGTACATTTCTTGCACTGAACTACATACATCAGCACGTTTGTTTTATATGTGGGTTGGTGGACCACAGATTATATATCGAACCGATCGGAACAGGCAACAGCCACAAGATCGAGAAAGGCTGCTGTCAGATGTTTCTAACATTTCATTTCTTTCCTTCTTTATTTTTCTGCAGGATGTCATATGTTTCTAACATTTCTTTTTTCTCTCTTTCTGCAGAATGTCATATGTTTCTAACATTTCTTTTTTTCTTTCTTTTTCTGCAGACAGTGGAGAGGAAGGTTGTTACACTGCCTTGTTACTTGTGTACGTATGGCTTTGTCACTGCTAGGACCCTGCCTTGTGGCATTTTCAGTTGAGTGATTTTTTTTAATTTGCTCTTGGTTATCAGGACCGTACGGATCTGGCTGATTAACAGAAAAAAGAACACGAAGTTGGTTGTGGTACGCAAAGTAGTGTTATGTGATGACAATTTTCTGTGGTTCCCGTGAATGGAGAAGAGGCAATATCGCTGATTTCGAGTATAGAGATGGGACTGTCATACTGGTCCTTAGACGGACCTTAGACGGAGGCATGGCTTCGCTGCTGGATTAGCGGCGGAGGCCCTGGTGCCTCTGGGTGCTGTTCTTTTTATGTACTTCGCCTTGGGCACTGGGACATGTAATGCAACGATGAGTAACAGAAAAAAAAAAAGAAGCAATAGCGCACAATATAATCTGTAATGAAATGAAAAAAAAGAATAAGACGAGGCAATGAGCATAATCTACGGAAGTAGCACAAGATAATAATCTGTAATGAAATGAAAAAAAAAGAAGAAAAGAAGAGGCAATGAGCATAGTCTACGGAAGTAGAGTACAGTTATTTTTCCGCAGAATAACGTACCTAATCCCCCTGTGCTGAAAGGAGTTCAAAAACAGATTAGGAGGGTGGATGGGCCACCGTGGAGTTGCTGACTTATCTACGTGATTTCGTGGCTACATTATTGCAGACGAGACTCGGGAGAGTATGCCCTTTGCTTATTAAAAAGAAAGGAAGGCAGAGTAGTGTGAACGACAGGGTTTGTGAAATGCTGACCTCTGTGTAGATCAGTTGTACTCTCTGGACTTTCTGATTATCATCACATGGTTTCTGCATGAAAAGTCGTTTCAGTGACTTGCACTTGGCTCCTTCAGAAAATTCCATTTCATTCTTTGCATGCCAAGTCCATATGTATAAATATGTATAGGTTCAACCTTCTGATGAGTCGGCGAAACTCTGACGAAGTAGATTGTCACAACCCGTATAGTTTGTTGTCCTCTTGTCCCTCTCTGCCTACGGTTTACCAAGCAGCTCTGTTTGACTATATATATATACCTTGAGGGCAGTGGTTGGTGCCCACCTCAGGGTATCAGTTGTCGGGCAGTCGTTGATGCTTAACCACAACTGGGGTTAAGGTGGATTATCACTTAACAGTGTAATCAGTCAGGGGACTCTGTAGACAGTTTGCCACCTCTTCTCCTTGCTGCCTACGGCTTACCGGGAAGCTCTGTTTGTCAAACAGAGCTGCCTTTTAACTGTAGGCAGAGAGGGAGAACAGGACAACATGCGAGGGGCCGTGGCAAACTGACGAGTTGGAGTTTCACCGACTCATCAGGAGGCTGAACCCTGTACAGTCTGCAGGGTTCCCTCATGCATATATGTGCTGCGGTGGTCTCTTTCCTGATATGCACAAGGGATGGTCTCTTTATAAGCACATGTTTCTGAGTAACTGTACTTTGTGGTAGCAGGACGGCCCAATGGACTTAATTGCATGAATGCCCTCACCCTTCTTTTCTGTTTTGCAAGAACTTCGAAAAAGCCTATGACCATGTTGACTGGGATTTTCCAGACAAATGCTTAGAAAAAATGAATTTCGGACCCGCTTTCAGACGCTGGGTGAGGATTTTTCATAGCAATGCCACTACCTGTGTGCAGGTTAATGGGTTGGTGGCACTTCCGTTTGAGCTTCAATGGTCGGTAAGACAAGGGGACCCTATTGGCCCTTACCTCTTTCTGGTCATAATAGAGGCACTATCTGCTAACCTGAGACACAATAAGGATTGCTGACATCCCAGAGGAGGCAGTGCTGATTTGTTCCCTCTTTGCGGATGGCCTTGTTATTATGGTAGAGGCGAAGGTACAGAATATGGAAGAAATCCAGAACCTTATGAACCGGTTCTGCGGAATGTAGATATGGCTGTTAATTGGGGTCAAAAGACTGTAGGCTGGTGGTTACATCACCAAGGGCGCAGCCCCCCCGAAAACCTGCGAATCACTTGGCTCTCCCCGGATGACCCTCTCACAATCTTGGGGGTGTTAGTTACAGCAAAGAGTAAGCTCGCCACCAATGACGGGTGGCTGGCGGGGCTGGCGGGGCTGGCGCAGGCCAAACTCGCGAGGTGGAACAAGCACACATCAATTTTTTTGGGGGGCCCTTGTTATTAATAATGTAGTACTAGCCACACTTTGGTACAAAGCCATATTGTGGCCCATGAGCAACGGGGGGGTCAAAGGTACTGAAGTGGTAGCTGGTGGCCTTTTATGGAAAGGCGATAGTAGCAACGCCCATGCTATTAGTCAGGTGGCATGAGAATCGGTGATCCAGCCCAAGGCCGGAGGGCAGCTGGGATTTGTGGATCCTTACACAGTTCCAGGCCCTCGGTTTTTGCTGGCTCCAACACCTCATTTTCCCATAAACCTCCCCCTGGGTCTCCTTTGCTTTGGCACAAATTGCAGCCCTGGCGCTAGAGGCCCCACCTGAGACTGATCCTCTGGTGTGGCTTGAAGATGGGTATTGGAAGATACCAAGGAAATACTGGAATGTGGACTCCACGGATGAGCAGTGGCTGTGCCTCCTACGAA